TGCTTGCTAATTTAAAGTAATGATAAACTCAGTCTCAGTATGGTAGACACTACATTGAAAAAAGCAATCAAAGCACTTCCCCTTGGAGTGCTTCAACCAAGAGTGAGGCAGAGCTTCTTTTCATCCCTTTTCATCTCTCTGGAGCTTGAGTCACTGGCCTCTGTAAATGTACCCATTGTATGAGGCTGCCCCTGTGCTTGTCTAGTCTGTCCCTAACAAAGGGCTTTGCTCTCTATTGAACAGAAGAGACAGCATCACACGGGCAAGAAATAAGAGACTATAAAACCTTTATCAGAGTTTTACACAGGAGGAAACTTTCTTGACTCGAGCTGATCAAGAAGCATTCAGAAAAGCAAACAGCACTGTGAACTTACCATCATCAAGCAATATCCATATGCTGTCTCAGCTTTTATGGTGGATTTTTTGTTGATGTTGTTTTTGGTTTTTCTTGGTTTTTGAGACCAGGTTTCTCTGTGGCTTTGGAGCCTGTCCTGGAACTAGCTCTTGTAGACCAGGCTGGTCTTGAACTCAGAGATCCACCTGCCTCTGCCTCCTGAGTGCTGGGATTAAAGGTGTGCACCACCATCACTTGGCAGATATTTATTTTATAAGGTCGCTTTTGTCGTATCTGCTATTTTCAAACACACATACATTGCTCTCTAGGTCAGGGACGTGGAAGAATGCCTAACTTACATTAGCTTAGGCTGTAAAAAGTAATCTCATGGGAAGCCCAAGACAAACAAGGTTGGTTGTCAAATTGTTCTCTTAAGGAAGGTTAAAGTCTAAATCCATGCCTAGGTATCCGCCTAGGCTTTAAGTGACCTCCAGGTATATTAACTCAGCTATAAAGTCCAGCCAAAGTTCAGTCTCTTTGAATGTAAGAGACAGTTTGATGAAAATGGTATCACCATATGTGTTTGGGTGCCTTTGGAGGCCACCAGATCCTCAAAGCTGGAGTTACAGGCAATTGTGATCTGCTTGACATGAGTGCTGGAAATGGAACTCGGTCCTCTGGAAGAGCAGCATGCACTCTTCACTGCTGAGCCATCTTGCCAGCCCCCTATATTTTCTCTTTCATCTAGAGGTTTCTTATAAGCAAATCCCTTGTCCTAAAAATTGCTTTTTCCTTTAAATTATAAGAATTGTTACATCTTCTCTGACAATTAGATTTCATTGTATTTATTTAGTGATATAAGGTAGAATCATAGGCATTGACAACGGCAAAGGTAGTTATAACACAGTGACATGTGCATTGCCAAAAATGGACATATGAGATGCTGTTGACCCAGCTCTGAGGGAGGGCTTCTCAGGAGGAAGCAGCAGGTGGTAATCGGGAAGTGACTGGGAAGGAGGAAAGGTCCAGAGGTGAGCAAGTACTACAACTATAATGGCTAAAGGGATGAGAAATGATGAGTCCCAGCCTTGCCTCAGACAGTTTTCAGGGTGGTCGGGTCCATATTGTTTTAAGCAGAGACTCACACACACAAAATCAATTATAGCTAAGGCAAAGCAAAAAAGTCTAGTGAAATGTCACTTAAAATAATTGAATGATTATCATGTGCATTTCATGACCCATTGCTGCCACACCTTAACCGAATGGTGGGTGTGTGTGTGGGGGGGGTTGTGTGGTGGGTGTGTGGGTGTGGGTGTGTGTATTGATAACTAGTCTGTCCCACCTCAACTGACATGCACCATGTTATCCTTTTAAAAGTTGTCTATATAAGGAAATGCTTCTTGTTAGAAGGCATGCCTTTCTTCTATAAAACAGTGAGATCAAAATCTCAAAAACTAAAGCTTGAGTTTAGTGTTTTACTTTATAACAGACAAGCAAATGCATTTATTTCAACTTGTATAACTTCAGCTAGCTTCTTTAGTGATTCTAGGCTTTTCCTTAAAGTGCTGATTTAAGTGTCAGAATCATGGGACAGGAAATTATTATTGGTCTTCACTGTGATTTCTCTGCTTTTTTTCCAGTCACCTTGCAGCTATTGCTCATAAAACACTCCAAGTAAAAGACAGTCCTGCTGACGTGGCTGGGGTATGTTCCATTGAATGCCCTCTATATAACCCCTTAGCAGCTGGAATTAATATTATAAAATGTTAGTCTTAGGAACTTTTCTGAAATATCTTCTGTTATTTAATTACAGCAGTAAACTTTGAACTTAGGTAATAGATGTAATTGGGCCATAACAATCTGTTTAAATAGTAGACTATCAAATGCTTCTTCATCAGGTGTTCAAGTGACAAATTCTGACACTCCTGCTGCACACCCTTTCTATATTGTTCTTTTTGTAAGGGATACTAGGATACATTTCTCCTTTCTACAGTATGCAAAGGACTATCAAGCAGAATTCCTACTTTTAAATTAGAATTACTTCTAAAACCATTCTTTTATTTGTTTTTTGCTTCTTGCTAACATATTATTAAACATTTAATCTTTTTTTTTTTTTTTTTTTTTTTTTTTTTTAAAAAATTTTTAAAAATTTTATTTTTTTTTTTTTTTTTTTTTTTTTTTTTTTTTTTTGTATGCCTGCCTTCATCTTTTCAGAGCTGTCCGTTCTGTCCTAGCCAATGGAATGAAGCTTCTTGGAATTACACCTGTATATAGAATGTAATATGTAATTTCTAATTAAAGTATGGGTTTTTTAGTGCCAAACAAGTTCTAGTTGTTATCAGATGGCTTGCTGTTCAGAATAGAATTTTAAGTATTATTCTGTGCCAGAATTATATAATTGTTTAGGGGGAGGGTTGTTTTCAGACAGGGTTTCTCTGAGTAACTACAGTGGCTATCCTGGAACTTGGCTGGTCTCAAACCCACAGAGATCTGCCTGCCTCCGCCTCCTGAATGCTGGGATTAAAGGCATACACCACCACCACTTGACCAGAACATGTATACAGTGACATTAACTTACTCAATCTTTACTCTTAAAAAAAAAAAAAAATGTGTATTTACTCATGGTCAGTAGGTATTCAAACATGTAAGAGACTAAGTTGAGTCTTTTTTTAAATTTCAAACCTTGTGATATAGGTTTGTGTGTGTGTGTTACCAGAGACTGAGCCTGGAACCTTGTGCACACGAAGCAAGGGTTCTATCACTAAGCTATGTCCATATCTTTCTTTTTTACTTTTTATATTGAAGTAGAATCTCATGTAAATTACCCAGGTTGACTTTGAAATCTTAACCTAGGCAGGCCTTGAATTTGGCTTCGCTCAGTTAGGGTTAGAAGCCTGTACATTTAGACCCCAACAAAAACCTTTTTTCAATTTATTGTTTCTTGTCGGGGATGGTAGAGGACAACTTTTAGAAGTTCTTTCCTTACATTGTGGGTTCCAGGTGTCAGGCTCAGGCCTCATATAAATATACACATAAGCACCTTTACCCCCTGAGCCATCTTGCTGGCCCCAGAAATCTTTTTTTTGTTGTTTTTTTTTAAATATGAGACAAGGTCTGTGTTGCCCCAGCTGGCCTGGAACTCGCTATGTATACCAGGCTGACTTGAACTCTGAGATGTGCCTTAGTGCTGAGATTAAGAGAAAAAAAAAAAAATTTTTTTTTAAATTCTTCTTATATATACATCCCAACCGAAGTTTCCCCTCCCTCACCTCTACTTTCTCCATTCTCTGCTCCCCACCTTCCCTCTTCCCCAAATCCCCACCCCTCCAGCTCCCCTAAGAAAACAGCAGCTCTTAGGCATATCAACCAAACATGGCATAATATGCTACTACAAAACCAGACACATACCATCACATCAAGGCTGGATGAGGCAAGCCAGGAGGGGGAAAAGGGTTCCACAAGCAGGCAAAAGTCAGAGACAGCCCCACTCCCACTGTGAGGAATCCCACAAGAACATCAAAGCCATGACATAAATTCAGAGGACCTAGGTTAGACCCCTACAGGCTCCAAAATGGCCCATGGAATCACCTGACTGAGACATAGCAGCTTTAGAATTATTCTTTTTTGTTTGTTTAAGATTTTATTTATTTAATATGCAGTTTTTTGCCAGCATGTCTGTGTGCAGGTCAGAAGAGGTCACCAGATCTCATTATAGATGGTTGTGAGCCACCATATGGTTGCTGGGGAGTGGAATTCAGGACCTCTAGAAGAGCAACCAGAGCTCTTAACCGCTGAGCGATCTCCCCAGCCCAAAATTATTCTTATAACTGAGATAACCTCCTGTTTTCATCAAATAATTGGTGAAGGGTGGCCCCAGTTTTATTTTAATTGCAGCTAGTTCCTGAAACAAATACGGGGTAATGTATGTAAAGAAGCATCTCTTTGGCAGAGTAGGCACCTCTCCCCGTGAGAACTTACCTCAGGTTTACCTTTAGCTTAAATGTACTAGTAACAAACTGTGAAGTTGGGAACATATCCATATAAATAGCAAGAATTCTGATTTTTTTTTTTGTGGGCCAGTATTATAGCATAATTTGAGATGGAGTTTTGACTTTCATGTATCTACATACAGACAAGGTAGTTTGTCAGACTTGATTCAATAATACGAGCTTAATTTAGGTAACAGTTAAGTACTACGTGTTATGTTTGATAACTATCACCAGGCACTTCTATTTGGCCTGCTACATTTAATGTAAGTATTATATAGTCACAATTCTAATGATTTGCTAATTTTCTTCTTAGAGTAGCATTGAACTTCCTACAGCAAACCAACTATGGAATGAACGTGTACACTTGGGACATGTTTAATATATCTGCTCTTCCTCTCCACTTCTTTGGTTTTCTCTTCAAACCACTATATTTCAGTCTTAAGTAAAATTATACCGGGACTAAGCCTTCAAAAGTACACTTCTTTGAAAAGACTTAATTATGTTATAATCCTACCCAGAAATTCTTTTTTCGCTCAAGGCTTGTTAAGAATTAGATTATAGCTATTATTTGCAAACAAAACCCTTATTTGTTAAAATTTCATACATAGAAAAAAGTCATGTTAATGTTTTTACATTATCATAGTGACCATATCCATAAAACAAAGTGACTACACAAGTGATATAAATAAATTTATTGCTGGATTTCCCCGTTAACATTATAGAAATATTTTAAATCACTTAAAGTTCACAAATTGAGAGCCCAACAGGTAACCATACTTTATAAAAAAGAAAGTATAAAAGCGACTTAGAAAATTTTCTGAAAAGTATATCAGCTAACAGCAAAGAAATATGAACCAGACAGTAAATGGCACAAATACAGCACTGAAGTTCTCAGTCATTACCCAGACAGAAGTCAGTGTCTGAGCCATGAAATAGGTTCTGTTTTAGAAGTTACACACTGGTTTTGTTCTGAACTGTCTTATCTTATTCATTCTTCACTTTGATAAAAGCAGCTAGATTTTTTGCTACTACAGGGACAAAGTACTATCCATGAACTGGACAACAAGGAAGGCTAAGCTTCCCCTCCTGGTACCTGAACGAGAGAACAGTGTGGACAGAAATGGCTTTGGCACTTGAACCTTCAGATACCAAATCTTAAACCTTGATTGAATATTGTAGTTTCACCTGATGTTCTAACCCTGTGTTGTCTCCTCTGTGCATGCCTCTTGATACCATGTAAACTCCATGCTCTGTGTACACAGTATACATACACACATGCACACACACTCTCTCTCTGTAGTAAAGTCCTTCATTCTGAAATAATACAGCTTGATACCAAACACTCTAAAATTAAATCTGTTTAAGCATTTCACTCATACAGTTTTCTTCTTGATCCTTAATGCCATACAGTAATTTTGTTGATATTGTTTAAGCTACCATCTGGGGTTGACTTAAGGCTCTAATTTATTATTGACAGTTTAGTCGTTATAGGAGTATCTTAAGATTCCAATCACACACCAATGACTCTTTCTTTTGAAGTTGCTTCTTGTTGAATGCAGGTAGTGTCTTGCCTGGGTAACCCATAGAGATATATGGAAATGCATACAAGAAGAGCTCCCATTGCAAAGGAAAGTGCTGAAGAGAGAGAAAAAAACAAATAAGTATTTCTTCTGTTTAAACTATAAAAAATGATGAATTTTAAAAAGCATTTTTATGTATGTGTGTATGTGTTCATGTGTGTAGAGTTCTTGCGTATACATACAGGAGCCAAAGGACAACTCTGGGCATCAACCTCCAGAATGTATCCATCTATTTTTAGGCAGGGTCTCTCATTTCCTTGGAGCCCACCAATTAGGTTAGACTGGATAGCTAACAAACCCCAGGGATTCCCATCTCCACCTCCCCAGTGCTAGAACTGCAAGCACTTCATCAATAAGCCATGTTCCCAGTCCTAAAATCTTTTTAACTGTAGGTTGCACTACCAGGTCATATGCGTGTTATTTTATGAGAGGCTGTCTATTCTAAGCAAAAAAGAAACAGGAGGAAAAAGATAAATATCAAAGGAGTGATAACACTTTCCAAAAACACAAGTAAGCCTGTCTTAGACTGCTCCAACAAAGGGACATATTAGTTCTCCTATAATACACATAATGAAAGGAAATAAGTAAATGTAATATAAATATATGCATGAATAGAAAAAGAAAATGTGGTATGATATGGCTTACTGGTGATCTCAGAAAGACTAGTGTAAAAGACACACAAAATTCAGCCATTTAATTTGTAAGAAGAGTCAATTATAAAATTAAATGTAGAACAGGACAGTTTTCCCCTTTTATTTAACATAGACATTTAACAAAATTTCCTCAGTGGTTTATAGTATAATAATTGGTCAATATAGAAAATAATGTTTGAGGTTCCTTTTAAGCTGTGTAGCAATTAAGACATTATTTCTGCTTAAGTAATTCAAAAGTTGGATATGATAGCCAGGAAAAAAATAATACTAGAGGGATTAGCATAGCAAAGGTACCACAATGTCACTGCAAACTAGTCCACACCTAATTCCAGAATAGAATAAAAAGATAAAAAGAAAGATAAAAAGGAGCCAGGCCATGGTGGCACACACCTTTAATCCCAGCACTCGGGAGACAGAGGCAGGCGGATCTCTGTGAGTTCAAGGCCAGTCTGGTCTCCAGAGCGAGTGCCAGAATAGGATCCAAAGCTACACAGACCCTGTCTCGAAAAACAAAACAAAAAAACTAAAGGAGGCTTCACAATAGGTTTGTTAACTCCACTCTGAAAGGAATCATTTCCAATCATACCACAGTGGTCCCTGAGAATCTATGGGGATTGGTTCTAGCATTTCCCTTAGATGCTAAAATGTTCATCTCCCATATATAAAAGCAGCATAGCATTTACATATAACCTATGCATTACATACCTTCTGCAAGTCATTCATAGGGCACTTAAAATATCTACTACAATATAAATACTATAATTATTTATATTCCTTTTTTTTGATGGGGGTTGAGACAGGTTTTCTTTGTGTAACACCCATGGCTGTCCTGGAACTCTGTAGACTAGGCTGGCCTCTAACTCACAGACATTTGCTTGCCTCTGCCTCTAAGTGCTGGGATTAAAGATGTGCACCACCATGCCCAGAAATTATATTTTTAAGGAATTATGACAAATATATTCATATTCAGAGAAATAGTTTTCTCCCTAATATTTTCTAACATGACTGAATCCACAGATGCAGAAGCCACAGTTATAGAGGACCAAATGTATAACCTCACTCACCCAAGACATCCTGTATCTATTACTTAAGGAAACAAAATCTTGAGTGCTGAATGAATTTTTAAATAACAGTGTGGCCCTCTCAACATCACCTAGAACCAGCACCCTTGAGCTCTAGGACACTGAAGTGCTGCTTAATCACTGTCACACAGCTGCAAACCACAGAATAAATTAACAAAAGTAGGATTACTTTTAATAAGAATTGAAGCAGATCATGAAGAGATAGGCTCTTCCATGTTAACAATATAAAACTATGACATACTTATCTGTAATCCAAACAGCATCACTGAAGCAATGGTAGAAAGAACAATGGCTGCAGCTGCTGAGAAGCCTTTCATGATGTTGTCTGTGTACTTGACCACAACAGAAGTGTAGAGGCCTCCAACACTAGCAAGGACTTGGGATACAGAAAAAAAAAAAAATAAAACCTTAACACTGAATAATTAAAGCATTCCGTAATGCTGAGATAATCTTCATTCTCAGAGATGACACACTCATTTACCTAGGATAAGGAGAGCAGTCTTCTTCAAGAGCAGTCATGTGAGAGGCTGTACTAAACAGCACTTTGTCAGGTGCATAAAAGACTACTCCACTACTACATCAGACACAGTTACTACTAACATTAGATTCTTTTCATTGTGAGGGTAAATTTTCTCTGGGATAGCAAGTCAACAAGAACAACATTACATAGTCTGAACTGGTATTTATCAATAAATCAGAGGGTCAATTCAAAATGCTGTAAGTGCCCAGAACAGACATCTAACTTAAGAATTAAGATAAAAAACAAATAGAATCTACTGAGACATTTTATTCCTGGATACTTACAGATGACAAACCAGACATAATACGTGTAACCATAGAAAAATCCTTTTTCTTTTATTTCAGCTCCATCTGATAAGTAGGTACCAACTAACGTCACCACGATCCCTGACAGATACATTTGAATGTTTCTCACCCAAAGGGAAGTATCTGAACTCTTTAAAACTTTTTCAAAATAAACTCCTAGAAAAAAAGAGCATGGAAATATTAAAGATATTATGAATTAACTAATAATATTCCATTTAGAAAAACACCAATTGCAAAATTTAGAGAACAAATATTCTTAATTTTAGTTAAATACACATTTATTATGTAGTTTATGACATGAAATATTAGACGTCAAATTGCTTTTACAAAGCACATACATTAATAATTAAAAAGAAACTTCATAAGCTACATTTGACAAAAGGTTGTTAAACCATCAAGAACAGTTTTCCCTTTAGATCACCAAAACTCTACTCCTTAATGCCAATAAACAGCTGGCTGTGACCATCTGTTATGCTACACCATTAAAGTGAATTATCCTACTCATGCCCCATTAATATATGTAGGAATGAATATGCATTACTGTGCAAAGTAACTATATAATCAGCCAGTGATGTGTTCTCAATGCTATAACAGAAATAAAATTAAATACCACTTGCTGAGTAAAGCCATTCTTTGAAGCCAGTCTAGATCACATCACATGCCCTGTGAACTGCTAATTAGGTATTAAATTTGTATGTACATGTATTTTTCCTGAGGCTGGGGGGAAGGGTAGGGACAAAAAATGTCGCCCCCCCCCCACTTTAGAGAAAAAGGAGGAAAAAAACACTTTTGTGCCAAAAAGTCAAAACTACTATTTCAAGTTTTAAAGTTAGATGAATGCATGTTTAACAGGAACATTGAAGATTTTTATTTAAAGCTATTTTATCAGCTAGAGGCTTGGGAACTGTTATTTACCAGCTAAAAGGTGTAATTAAAATAATATTTTTATAGTAATCTTTATCTTTGAGACAGGATCTCACTATGTGGCCCTGGCTAGCCCAGAACTCAATATGTAGACCAGGCTGACCTTGAATCTGCCTGACCTTGAATCAGGTCCTGTCACCATACCTAGCAAAAACACAACTGATTTTGATGAGACTATGTTGGAAAGAGCCAAACTGTGGCACAAACCTCCTAAAATAGCTGTTATAATTTCCAACTTAGACTTTATGTCTGGAGAAAGCATATAGCTATTCAGTGATCTTCTACTTAAGCACAGGAGAACTACTAACCACCTTCTGTTTCCTCAAGTGTAAACTGAGAGGCTGAATAAATAGGATATTAGATAAAAGCATTAACTGTTCAAAGATATTACTGAAAATCAAAAGAATATTTTTTTGGTGACTAAAATTTTGTTCCTAGTTCGTAGACTCTTAAGAGTAAAAGTTTACCATATTATGGTTAATTAAGTATATTCTTAATTTTTTCCTTTTCTAAAACTTCTCCTATAAAATATCTTATTTATAAGCAATATTTTATTTCTATGTCCTTCCTGTTTTCCTAGTCCAAAAAGTCACTCTTGAAATAGGAATGAAGAGATATACAAATATCACTAAATATATTCTTTACTAAAAAGCTCTTGAGTCTCATACCTGTTAGAGCTATTTTTGCAACACATTTCATTTCTTACATTAAGATCATGTATTTTTCTTAGATCATTAGAGGAATGATTGTCCCTATATGACTCCATACTTTCCTGTTTTCTTGATGTTTCTGGTTGTTCTTCTTTGATATTATCTTTGCTAAGGTACACTTCACCCACCTCCTCTTTCTATTCCATAGCTCCTAGTCTGTTGAAGCAAAGGAAGAACTTGAGATTACAGGCACAAGACACTCTAAGCTGCTATACTAGTGACCTGTGGCAGCAGAGACAAGCTTGGAAGTAATGATACTTTGGGGAAATGGGAAGTACTTGTGACTTTCCTGAGGGTTAATTTCCTTTATGTCAGAGGCCTTTCCATTAACTTTTAGTTCCTGGCTAAACTAAGATGGTCAGAATGACAGAAATATATTCTTAAATAGCTGCTTTTCTGAAGTTTGAAGTGAGTTAAATGAAGTCACATATTTACTGGCTGGGGGAATTGCTGACACAAAACAAAGTAAGAAAGGTGTTAAAGCCTTAATGGAAATAAAATTTTTAGGATAAACCAAGGAAATGACATCCACTTTTTATAGTTCAGTGTTTTTAGAAAGAAAGGAAGTGAGGAAGGAGGGAGGGAGGGAGGGAGGGAAGGAAGAAAAGACAGCCAGTTTTCATAGTTCAGTGTTTTTAGAAAGAAGGGAGGGA